AGTAATTGACTGAAGAAGTTTCATAGTGATGTCTATTAGTTAAACATTTTACCATATTAACCCACAGTGTCTCCCCCTTACTGTGTGTGTTCACTGCATTTAACCATGAGTTGTTAGAGAGGTTCCTCTTCTGTACTTCCTGTTAAATTGGCAATCCATAAGAGCTTTAGCTGGAAAGCAAACATCGCTGTCAAGAGTACTAAGAGAGCAGTTGGAGGGCTGTTATGTGCCCGGTAGAAGAGTACATTTGCTTAACATTGCAGGAGGGCTCATTGAAACCAGACAGCAGGTCTCAGTAAAGGCAATACATCTACACACAGAAAAAAGAGAGGCAAAAGTTCTCCATGAGTTTTGATAAAGTGAGATACAGACCAAGACAGAGACTCACATGGGCATCCTCTGCAGGTGAAAGGTCAAGTAGGTGTTATCGTGGTAAGATAGTGGAGCCAAGACATACGCAATGAACTCATGGTCTTTTCAAGACAAAGCTTTATTTATGACAATGTGCCATTACGTTGAGGAGAAAATAAATTGTTTGATTAGAAGGCATAAGAAGGAAAAACCCTTTGTGAGACTTTTCTGGGCAAGAAAAGAGAGACTAAGAACTCATCTAAAGTCGTACTCGCTGCGATTTCTCTCTTGGCATCCGAGGCGTATCGATCGGGGAATGTTATTGAGGGATCCTGCGAGAGATGATTAATCATAAGTCACTTTTCTCCTCTGTGCAAATGGATCAGTGCCAAAGAGAGAGAGAGAGAAAGAGATTGTCCTCAATCTACTGTCCCGCTGATTTTCTTAGCAGCCATTTCTCCCACTACTGCCCCGCTCTCTCCATCTTAGCTCAACTCCTCGGTTTCTCAATGTTTTTCGAGGAACAAGTAAACAGAGTGAAATGGCCCCAAACAGAGATTTGGAGAGGCTGATTTCTTCCCTCCTTCCTTGAGCGGTTGTGGTCACCAGGCTGATACGTGGCATCTTTTTGTTTGTGCCCACAGAAATGATTCAGTGGCGTATTGAAATTACACAGTGGGCTCTTGCAGAGTAGATTTATAATTCAGGTCAAATGTTGGATGCTCGTCGTGACAAACTCAAGTACTCAAGGCAAGAGGACTTGTGTTAAGATGTTGAAAAGATGAATACTTGTCGTTTGATTGCACATATTCCTATTGCTTGTCTTTTAGTGCTTAAGCTTTGAGTCTGTGAGCAGTTGAATTCCTCATGTACTGTGATCGCTCAACAAAAAGGATAAGGATTTAATGAATGTGTCTCCATTTCTCTAACTATATTTCAAAAAACCTTGCTTGCCTTTCATTTCTGACATTTTATACGTGTCCTTTTGGTTTCAGTATTTCGAAAACAAAGGCTTTGATTGGCATGATAATCCAGATCTGCCTTGAAGTCTGATCCACATGTAGCACCCAAAGCCCCATCCATTACATCATGGTTCACATAGCTTGACTATACCACTATATCACGCATTTAGCATAACCCAGGCTTACCGGCAGTGCCACAAATATGTCCAATGCCAACATTTTAAAAAGTCTCTAATTATAAAATACTTGCACAATTTGGGCATGGTGAATGTGGTAATGTGCTTCAACCAAAATGTTTACCGGATGGTGGAACTGCTTTGGAAAGTCCCTCCCACCATTTGTGTACCACATCAGATTTGGTAAAGATGAACGGTTTGAACGTTTTTACATTTTAACCCAATCGGTTAAATCGCTTTTCATTCATGTACCTAAAAATATGTAAAATCTTGTTTCTTAAAACCAAAACTCATGATTGGTCGATACTTCCCTTTGTCATTGGGACGCCTAGAAGCAGTTGAGACCAGTTCTCTGTGATTTTGTATCGTGTCACGCCCCTCACTTCAGCAATAAGTGACAGGCATCAGTTTGAAGCTTCGTGTAATTGGTTTGAAATGGACTTATAGCTTTTTGCTGTGTCATCTGTACTGAAAGCCAGTCAGCTTAATCAGAACTACCACTTGGATGGTCGAATAACTTCAGAACAGAAGCCCCTCCTTTCCCATGTCAGATTAGTTTAGCCTGTGCCCAAAGACTTCTGGTACTTACTTTGACAATCCAACAATTCATTTCTAACTCAACTACTTCCATCAATATGGATGAACCCCCATCCCCCGATATGATGTTTGTCTTTTCACTCTAGGTTTTGAGCGGTCAGACACGACACATTTCAACCCTTACATCCCGCTTTTCTACACACTGCTTCTTGCATTAGCACCGAACAATGTCCTTAATTACAAATATGCCAATAAAGCCTTAATCATGACAAATGATGATGTTTGATTGGCATATTGGCTGCTGTTGAGATTGAACCTGTGAGTTCTCCAGACACACTACTCAGGTTTTACACATTCATGCCTAGAAGCAGTACAACCTCAATCTTGTGCTGTCAGACACACCGCAGCTCTCTGGAGTTATTGGTATTCAAGGCTGCATTGTGCTTCAAACAAAGTGCTGTTCGACACAATGGATGCAGTCATATTCAGTCTGAACAGTTTTGTACTGTTGGTAAACCAACAATCTGACAGTGACTCCCACTTTCTGGGAGTTTTCTGGAATGAAAATTGTGCACAAACATATTCAGAACAACTGTCATCCTCCTTTGTATCACACAAAATTATTCTTTTATTGTATCACACCTCTGATTTGTTTCACCACCTCACGTCATGCTGCTCAAACTCGGCTACTCACCTCTCATAAATAATGAATTAGGGCAGACTGTTTGTCTTGTGAAATCGTCTGCGAGTAATGTAAGCGCCTTGCTCAAGGGTGTAGTTGATGAGAGAGCGAAAAATCGGCTTCTCAAGTGCACTGTTCTCGCCTTTAGGCCAGCTGTTCTCTGTAAATGTTTGTTAATGCCTGCTTTAAAATGCTCAACATCCCTGTTGCAGCAAGGATTCCAGTCTGCACAAATATTCTGGTCTAGGGAATGAAAATGCTAGAGTTACCTGTGCATACAAATGAACACTGCATGCAACCGTGTAACATGCAAGCTACAACAACAACAACACAAAAGCACGATTTTCCCAGGAACTCATTACGGAATCAGAGAGGCAGGGCTTAATGTTGTTTTGACTGAATTGTAGTTATCAGTAGGCCACCGTGATGAAGCTCAATTAGAGCAGTATGCTATATGCTCAGCAGAGGTAATCACTGGGTGGAGGGGCAGACTTATGTGGAGGCAGGGATATTCACTCTGAACTGAAAAGGCGAAGGATTCACAATAGGACCTGGAGCCGTGGAGAGCGGCTAATGAGCCTACAAGATTCACTCTTGGTCTCCCCCATAGAGAGGCTTGTCCTGGGCAGAGCGGAGGAGCGAGATGTGTGCGCTCCAACACATTCCATGACGCAGCCCGTCAGAGCCAGGAGCGTAAAATGAAAGTTTGCCTTGCCAATTTTTGGATGAATGAAGGTCTTCTGTGTTGGATTAGAGTCTTAAATCAATCAAGAGACAAGACATTTAAATAAACAATGTGGCTGTATCTCCCCCATTAAACCTGATGTTCCAGAAAGCTCATAAGAACATTTTATTTTGAACCTTCACAATAAAAGACTACAGATATTCTGTACAGATATGCCTAATCCTGAATGCAAAGGAATGACTTTTATGACAACTTTATAGCTTTTTTTGTTGTTGTCTGTGCATTAATTGTGTGAAAACCTTTCTTGTATGGAGATTAAGAAATAATTTATCTGCAGCATTACTTCACAATTAAAGGACAATGTCAGAAACAGAATGTCTTGATTGTCATCATACTCTCACAACATTTTATACACAACATTGGAAGAAATAAATAACAGCAGTGAGTCAAGCAGTTATCAACAAATAATAGACACTATAGGTATATTAAATTGAATGTAAATGACATTTTTTACAGATTGTACAAAGACGAAAATGTAAATGTGATCGTATCAGAGCCTTGGTGTTTTGTGTAGAGTTTGCATGTTCACAGAGTTTCCTTTCATATACTTTCCTTGCTACCAGAGTCCAACGATTTGCCGTTTTGGTGAACCTCAAACTCCAAATCACCTGTACAGTATGTGTGCAATTAAGTGCAAATGGTTCAGTCTGGCTGTGAGACTCCTGTCGTTTGCATTACATATTTATTACTTATAATAGTATTATCATTAATCATACATTACTGATTGCTGACTGTGGTAATCAGGAGATCTGTAATGTTTATTACATAGAATAGAACAAATAAAAACATATAATCCACCTGTCGAAAAAGCTTTTTGCACTAAAAGCTCCTTTTTTAACAGGATTTTAAAAATCTTTTTTTTATTTAATGAGCTATAAGTTGTTTTGACAAAACTGTAGTAATGTTTTTTTTCTTTCTTTTACTTACCATAATGTAATGATTTGATTCCATTCAATCTTCCAGAGTCTGTTTAAGCATATGATTGTCTTTCTGTGCACATTTCATTTTATTACAGACATAATAACGAAGGATAATCAATATTCCAACAATGTCATCCTCAACTATGCGCGGTCTGTCAAATGTCCTCTTGTAGTTATTTAAAAATGGCTTATAAAACATCCATCCAGACTTTTAAACCGACTCGCCTTCTGATTTTTACCCTAAAAGCACATGATTTTTTAAATATGTTTTTATTTAATGAGCTATAAGTTGTTTTGACAAAACTTAAGTAATGCTTTTTTTCCTTACCATCAATGATTTGTGTATTCATTCCTTTTAACCTTCTAGTGTCTTGTGTGAAGCAATGTTTCTTTATACTTTTCATTTGAACACATCATAATGTAGGATAATCAATATTCAGACAATGTCATCCCCAAATATGGGTTGAAGCGAGGTCTGTCAAATTTCCTCCAGTAGTTATTAAAAAGTGGTTTCTAAAACATCCATCCAGACTTTTAAACCGACTCGCCTTCTGATTGGCCGAGCAGCGGTCACGTGGGGGTAGTGCAGTCAGTCGCTGTGCCGCGAGCAGCGCTGAGTGGAGCCTGTCTGCCAACAGCTTCAGCAGCGGCTCTATCTGGAAACCCACTACACTCACTGACAATTAAAAGGAGGCCCCTTTTCTTTCTTATTTCCGAGGAATATTCACCACCATGGGCGACAAGAAGAGCCCTACCAGGTAATGCGACAACCAAATGCCCAATTTCTGCTCGTTTTGTGCGTTTTAGGGCTCGATATTTGCAATGCGTTTCCCTCACACGGGGATCGTTTCTCCCTTTTTTCAGTACGGTATGCCACAGCTAGCTAGAATAGTGCAGTCACTATGGCGGCTTCTCGCTCCCCTTACAAACCCCAGTCACTTAACAGACAAAGGGAATTTTTTCAGAGGAGACGCCTGACATTCCCTGAAACGCTCTTCCGTCTCGACGAAGCCTTTTGCAGGGTCAATGTCGAAATTGACATTGTTTGATATTGCTTTTGTTAGCCGACATGCTAAGCTTTCGATGCCGAATTTTTTTCCAGCAATGCTTCCCCTGCCTGCCTCTGCTAGCCTTAGCTGGCGATGGGATCGGACGATGTGGAGCTGCGTGGTGGATTTTATTTTATTAACCCAAGGACTGGCCGGGACTCGAACCCCAGATTAATGACAACACCATGATCCGAGCTGCACTTAGGAGCTGCTTTTATTACACAACGTGTTATGTTCGTCACAATCTCCTTACTTGTTGTTAAGGGGCGGCAGTAGCTCAGTCTGTAGGGACTTGGAAGGTCGCCGGTTCAAGTCCCAAACAGGCCAGATAAATATGTGAGTACTGTGGACTGGTATCTGGAGAGGTGCCAGTCCACATCATGGCACTGCCGAGGTGCCCTTGAGCAGGACAGACTGGCAGCCTCTTCGCTCTGGAAACCTCTGTATAATGCATTGGTGCACCTGTATTAGAAAGATGGACAGATACTTTAAGTTGGGAAATTGTTTTGTCAGCAGCATTTTGACAGTCTGTAAAATAATTACAAAATGTCTTTGAAATAAAAATAACATAAACTATTTACATATTCTCAGTAGAAAATACATATATTCAGAAGACACACTATAACATATACAGAATACATAAGAATACTCTCTTAAATACCAATCTACTAAAGGGACAGCCACATTTAAACATAGTGTGCTATGTGCGTTTTTCGAATGCATGTGTGTATTTATACTGTACTGTGTTTATCCCGAGGCGACCAATGAAGGCTTATAATCCTAAATCTTAAACAATGCATGAATGTTCAAAAGACTAACTTGACCTCTACGTTTCAGGCCAAAAAGACAAGCCAAACAGACTGCAGATGACGGCTACTGGGACTGTAGCGTGTGCACCTTCAGGAACACCGCCGAGGCTTTCAAGTGCAGCATCTGCGATGTGAGGAAGGGCACATCCACAAGGTAAAGAAGCTCTCTCT